CTCCGCCCTGGTTTGCTCCCTCCCAATGGAAAAGCTGCCCCAGTGCAGTCTGAGTGCATGCTTTTACCGAAAAGCTCATTTCAGGGTAGGACAGAGACAGTCCTGGAGATGCTGGGGAACATCTGGAAGTCTGGGTGGGAGCAGGAAGGACTTGGGAGCATCTCTGGGAAGCAAGGTAGGTGTTTGTGGGGCCGGCAGCAGCACTTGTGCAATGATGAAGCCCATGGGGACAAGGGAAAGGTGTTCCCTGAGGGTACCAGGGCTAAGGCATCTCCTGGTGGTGGATGCGGGGTCCTGGGAGAGGGCACCCCAGGCATAGGCTCTGCTGTGGAGCTGGGTCATGGAATCCGGTGCCCTGCAGTGGGTTTCCAGCACTCATTACAGGCAGCAGAAGAGACTCAAACCATTCAGGGCCATGTCGTCCCTCTTCAGCCCCTGTGCAGAATTCCACTGGCATCTGGATGCCGTACGCTGCCCTGGGCCACAGGAGTCTCCAGCCACTGCACTGGCCCCAGGCAGACTCCAGCCCCTCCAGGACATGCTCATTGGAGCAGGCAAAGTGGGTGAGTTGCTGAGGTGTCCTACAGCACAAAACCCACCAGGCACCCTCGGTGGGGGCACCAGCGGGCCTCTGACCAGTGACCTCATCCAGACAGGGAATAGAGAAGTTGGTCACTGCTGAGACTGGAGGGTGTGAGAGGAGGAGACAGCTGCAAGGGAGGCTCTACAGTCACAGGGAAGGGACGAGGATCGCCAGGGGCTCACCTGCCGGTCTGGGACTTGGCTGTGTAGCCACCACTGGGGTCCTCACCATGGGAACAGTGCAGCTGAATCCCGCTGAGCGCCGTGTCATCCTCCATCACCCCCTGGGACAGCTCTGCCTGTGAGGGAACAGAGGTGGGGGGTAAACTCCTCGTGGGAGTGAGGTCCTCGGACTGGCCATAGGCACCAGTGTGGAGGCTACATCTTGAAGCTGATGCCACCGGCATAGGAGCCTTTGGGGCACATCTCTGGCCAGGCCCAGTCACCCCAGGGTCCCCCATTGGACACAGTGATGACCGAAGCATTGCTCCCACCCAGGTCCCACTCCTGACCCTGCCCTGTGATACCTGGAAGCCCCGCGAGCAGCAGCAGGACCTGTCCCCTGGCATGGCTGCCCTGCCCACAGCCAGCCCAACAGGCTCTTATACCTAGCAGGGCTGGCAGGAGGGACCTGGCAGCATCCCAGTTAACTTCCCAGGGTAACTGGGCCTGTTGGATGTTGGGGATTAGCTGCAGGAAAGGGCTAACTCCTGCGGATAGAGAAAAGGATTCTGAGCTCTGTGAAAAGACAGGGTTCTCACGGCTGTTGTTCATCTCTGAGCCCTGCAATAATATCAAGATGTTCCAGAGACTAAGAAACAAGCAGCAAGGTTGGCATCAAGGCCGTGCACATCCTGTGACAAGAACACCTGGCATAAACAGGGAGCTGTGTACATACTTGGACTGCTGTGTAAGACTTAAAAATACAGGAATACACGATTCTACTGTTGATTGGAGCCAGGAAAGGGCTCTGTATGCTACAAATTTGGTAAAGGAAAAATAAACTTAGATTTGATCCCTAGCATCCTGCAGAGGCTATGCGCTTACTGCGCTAGAAATTCCCCCACAGGGTGGGGCACAGGGAACTGATCCCCCAGCTCTTTGTCTGGTTCCCTCTCCAGGCAGCTCACTCGGAGCCAATGGGCATCCCAGTGCTAACTGGGGTTCGGGGCAGTGTGAGGCCAGGGCGCCTTCCTCTCCCGCTCTGGGCTCCCACTATGTGCAAGATGGGACTTGCACACTATGTGCAAGATGGGACTTGCACTCTGCCGTTTGCTCTTTCTTTTCTGGGGTTGAAATGAACAGGCACATTCACCAACAACTTGGACGGAAGTCCCTTCCTGTCCTTTCTGCCCTCACCCCTCCAAGGTATCCATCTCATCACAGCTTTGTGCTGCATTTGTCTCAGCTTGCTTTCCGGTTGCACCTCCCTTTTCCAGAAGGTTATCATCTTACTGCTTAACAGCCACTTTATGCAGTAATAGCTCTTTTAAGGATTTCCGAGGTGGTTTTTTTTTTTTTTCATAAGTCCTAGATAAGAGAATTCCAACCATCTCCATGCCAGCACCTGGCTGCCCTTTTAGATGCTTTTCACATTTCTTCCAACTGGGCTTCTCAGTTTCCTTCTGCCTTCCCCTTTCCAAAGTCAAACACTACTGTGAGGGGACTCTTCACCTTGGGAGGATGCAGTTGCCATGCTGGACCACGCACTTGCTACTAGGTCTCCCACGGGGCTCCGGCAGCGCTGGGAGTCGAGCCCAGGGTCCCCTTGTGCCAGGCAGGAGCTTGAGCCATCCCCGGACACGGGACA